GTATTTATTCATTCAATATTGATGGACATTTTGGTTGTTTTCAGTTTGGAGCTAGCTAATATGAGTAATGCATCTCTCAACATTCTTTCCCATGAATCCTGGTTCCAGGGTCTATATCCAGAAATGTAACTGCTGGGTGGGAGAAAGAGGCAACAACAGATCTAAACTTGTTTTCTGTTGGAAGATGACTTTGGTTTACTTTCTTCCAACACTGTTTCTGTGGTAACATACTGGGTTCAGGTAAACGTGGAATGCCAGCTGTGTTCCCAGGCAACAATGTTTATGATAAAAATGACCCCTGAAAGGATTGTGAGTGGGCTCATAGCCCCCAAGGGCCTACAGGGCCAAAACCAAATAGAAACCTGGTCTCTCTGGGGTGAGGGGGCTTATAAGCTACCCTCATGAGCTGCGACAAGAGGTGACTTCTCTTGTGTATGAAGCTTCCCTATGCCAGGGTGGGCAGCACCCATCCACACATGTGATATCACCCAACTGGAGATGATGAGAAGCAGACCCTGGACCCTCAAGAAAGATGCATTTGATGTTGTCATGCCAACATGCTGTTCTTTCCTGTCCTCTAACCTTCTACAAAGTTAAGTGAACCTGGTGCCAAGTTATAGCCTATGGGATTCCATGAGTGTGGATGTCAGATGGAACCCAAGACTGCTTCTGGTAACCATGCTGAGTAGATGTGACACTGTATCATGCTGTAAGGTGTGTCTATTTCAAATGTAATAGATAATGGGGAAAAAACTTTTCAGAATACATACGACAATTTATACCCCCATCAAAAGTTCATAAGAGTTCCCACTGCTCCTCCTGTCCCCAACACTTGGTACTTTTGGACGCTAACTTTTGAAAATCAGGTTAGTATGTAATGGTATCTCATTGTGGTTTTCATTTGCCTTTCTCTGATTACTAATGAGTGAATGATGAGTAATTCCTACATTTCTTTGGACATCTGAATTTCTTATTTTCTTCGTTGTCAGCTCAAATCCTTTGATTATTTTTTAAGTTAGGTTGACTCTTTAATGATTTGTAGCAGTTCCTTATATGTTCTTGATACTAGTCCTTTGTCAGCTCTACATGTTGCAAATAACCTATTCTGTGACTTACTTTGTACACTCTTTATGATTCTTTTGACAGACACTTTATTAACTTTAAAATCATGGGATGTATCAATCCTTTCTTTTAGAAGTAGAGATTTCTGCAACTCATTTAAGAAATCCTTCTTAATTTAAAATTTTAATCCATCTGGAATTAGTTTTGGGGGTACAGTATGAGGTAAGGGTCTGGTTTCACCTCACACTATAGATATCTGATTTTCACAGCACCATTACTAGAGTCCTTCTTTTCCCATTTCTTGAAGTCATATATCAAGTGTCCACATATGCATATGTCTCTTTCAGAGCTCTCTATTCTGTCCTGTTTATCCATTTGATTAGCCCTACACCAATTACAAGAATTTTATAATAAATTTGATAACTGGTAAAGCAAATCCTTCTACATTGTTCTTTTAAGTCAACCTTAGTCATCTTGTTCATTGCACTTCCACATAGAGCTTAGAATATGCTGCTCAATTCCATCCATTGGGAAAAAAAAAGCTTTTAGTATTTTGATTGGGATTACATTAAATCTATAAATCAATTTAGAGATCTGACATTTTACAACACTAACTTTTCCAATCCATGAATATAGTGTACCTCTAAATTTATTAAGTTTTTATTTAATATCCCTCAATAAAATTTACAGTTTACTCCATAGAGGTCTTGCACACTTTTGTTAGATTTCTTCCTAGGTATTTCTTTTGGGTATTATAAATGTGTTTTGTTTTCTTTTATTTTCTAATAGTTACTGCTAATATGGGAAAATATCATTAACTTTGCATGTTAATTTTGTATCCAGCCACACTATCAAAATACCTTGTTCATTGTAATTTAGCATTAGATTCTTCTGGACCTTTTATGTATTCAAATATACCATCTATAAATAACGACAATTTCATTTCTCCCTCTCCAATCTTTTTTTTATTAGTTTTTCAATATTATTTTATATTCGTTTCAGGTGTAGAGTATAGTGGTTAGGCATTTATATAATTTATGAAGTGATCCCCCAGTTAAGTCTAGTACCCACCTGGCACCATACATAGTTACTACAATATTATTGACTATATTCCCTATGCTGTACTTTATATCCCCATGATTACTTTGTAACTAATTGTACTTATTCCCTTCACATTTTTCACCCTCCAATCTTTAAATTGTTTCTTTTCTTTTCCTTGCCTTAGTGCACTGGATAGGATCTCCAGTACAATGTTAAATAGAAGTGATGCTAGCTGACATCCTTATATTGTTACTGATCTCAAAGAGATTTTTTTTCATGTTTTGCTATCAAATGTGATGTTTGCTGTAGATGTTTCATAGTTGCCCTTTATCGATTTTCCTTTTATTCCTGACTTTCTCAGAGTTTTTAACATGAATGGATGTTGAATTTTATCAAGTACTTTTTTTTTCTTTTAGCTAAGCCATCCTGCCACCTGTTAGCAGCTCAGCGGCAGCTCAGCTCGGGCCAGGACTCGAACCTCTGTTGCTTAGAGCTCACACTCTTGAGCGAGCTCTTCACCAACTGAGCCGCTCAACCGGCCCTATCAAGTACTTTTTTATATCTACATAGACTGGTGCTATGAACTGAGGCAAGTCCAAGGACTGTCTGTCATCAGTCTCTGGTGTGATGGGTTAAAAAAATTAGAGTAACCATTTAGAAACAGTTTTTTGGGGTGCTATTGAATTCACATGTCAAGTCACACAAGACACAAGCCTTTTGAGAAACACTATGTCTTACTCCAGATTTTCCTTTGCCAGAAAATGTCTGTTCTGCTCTTTCATTTGTGAATGGTATTTTCACTGGATATGGAATTCTAAGTTGACAGCTTTCCCTCTTAGAACAATGAAGTTATAATCTCACTCACTATCTTGTGACTTCCAATGTTTCTTTTGAGAAATCATCTGTCAGTTTAACTGTGGCTCTTTTTAAAGTAATATCTTTTTTTATTTTCTGGATACTTTTATATTCTGAAATATCCCTATACATTTCTGTGTAAGTGTGGATTTTTTATTCATCCTGTTTAGGATTCTAAGGCATCCTTGGATTTGTTCTTTTGTTAGTTCTGGAATATTCTCAGATACTATCTTGTCACACATTACCTCTGTCCCATTCTCTTTCTGTTCTTCTGAAACTCCTATTAGACATATATTTAATCTCACTATATCTGCAATGTCTCTTAACCACCCTTCCATATTTCCCATCTTTTTGTCTCTCTGTACTGGATCCTGGAAGATTTCTTCTGAACAAATTCTTTCTTCAGCTTTTATTTGGCTTATTATCTGTCTTACCAGTAGAATGCAACCTACATGAGAGCAGGGTTCTTGTCTGTTTTGTTCACATCTGTGTTCTCAACACCTAGAACAGTGCCTGGCACTTAGTAGGCACTCAATAAATTTTTGTTGAGTGAATGCCACCAGATAACTACATCCTTTTTTGACCTCGTGGGGAGCTTTACAGAGCTCTCTTCTAGGGACCCTATCTCCCACCTGACCTATAATTCTCCATAATCAAGTTTGTTAGGGCAAAGAAATCCATGGGGTCAAGACAATAAAATCATCCTGCTTGGGCCAGACTCTGGCGAGTTTCCATGAAAGACTAAGGAAAACCAGTTCAAGCAGCCAACACTCACTAGCCACTGTCCTACCATGAAACAGCCAAAAGTTTGGCATGTATGAGTCAGAATTCAGCTTCCAAACGGCAGCTCAGGGTGATATTGAAAGCTCAACAAAGTGATTGATTGGAAGTCAAATGTAAAATAAAGCAGACTATAGATCATGTGGTAGACAGAGTAATGCCCGCCCCCAAAGATGTCCACATCCTAATCCCTGGAACCTGTGAATATGTTACCAATGCAAAATGGACTTTGCAGACGTGATCAAGTTAAGGATGTTGGGAGATGGGGAGATGATCCTGGGTTATCTGAGTGGGTCCAATATAATCACAAAGGTCCTTATAAGGACAGGAGAGTCAGAATCAGATCAGGGGAGAAGATGACAAAAGCAGAAGTCACAGTGATGCTGCATGAGACACACTCAAGTGGTCATGGGTGGCTTAGAAGATAAAGAAAGGAGTCACGAGCCAAGGAATGCAGGCGGCCTGTAGAAGCCGGAAAAGACCAAGAAACAGATTCTCCCCGGAAGCATCCAGAAGCTTCACCCTGCTGACACCTTGATTTTACCCAAGTGAAACCCATTTTGGACTTCTGTCCTCCAGCACTGTAAGATAATGAATGTGTATTATCTGAAGCCATCAAGTTGGTGGTAATTTGTTACAGCAACATCAGGAAACTGATACAGACAATTAACTTTCAGACTCCCGTTTGTGATCCTATGGTGTGCAAGAAATCACTTGCTCCAGGAGAGCAACTTTTTTAAATGAAGAGTAGAAGAGAAAATAGCAGAATTAATCACACATAGAAAAAAATTATAATTTGGCGAATCTTTTGTTTCAGATAAACGTATATGTGTACATGTGTTTATAGCCACGTGCATCTATGTGTGTATGAACTGTGTCGCCCAGTCATGGTCATAAAAACTTGGAAGAACACTGGCAGAGAAAAGTCCCATTGTTTCCATGGTCACATAGAAAGATCTTGTGCAGATGGGAATAGACACCTGTCTAGACTCTGCTCCATTACCAACATCCTCCTTTTGCAGGTGAAGGCACTAGGGCCCAGAGAGGTGAAGACTTGCCCGTGGTCACACAGCTCTGAAGTGGCAGGACCAGGATTCTACTGCAGGTTTCACCGACTCCAGAAAGTGAACCTTTCCCCTTAACTGCACCAACCCCCTTTTTTTGAAAGTGTGGGAATGTGCTCAGCACTAAACACCCGCATTCTGGAGCCTAAGCACCACAATGCCAGGCGATGCTTTCAATAACTCCATTTTTCAGATAAGGAAGCTAAGTCTCAAAGCAATTACGACACTCGCCCCTAAGTAGGACCCACAGAGTCTGGCCTCAGGACCCACCTGCCTGTCCAGGGCTCTGGTCTGCTCCTGCAGCTCCGTGACCTCGGTCTGCACCTGGGCCCGGCACTTCAGCAAGTGACCCATGTTCTCCAGCCTCTCGTTGTCCCGCAGCCGCTTGACCTGGCTCTGGGCGACGCTGATCTGCACCTGAAGTTTGCCCCGCCCCTCCTCTAGGCGGTGGATCTCCTCCCTGTGCAGGCAGGGAAGTGGAGGGGAGGCCAGCAAGGGGCAAAGCTCAGCATCACTAAAGGCCAGACACACTGGGTCTGCCCCGGCTTTGGACCCAAGGGTCCAACCCCCAACTCTTTAACAGCCCCCTTCCAGCTCTGAGACCCAGGTGCTCAGCTCACAGTTGCTTATTGATGCGCTGGTGGAATTCCTTGCTGTAGGCCCGCCTTTCACCCTCCATCACTTTGCATTGTCGCTGCAGTCTGCTCAGCTCCCAATCTACTGAGGGATGGACCAGGCAAGGGACACAATAGGAATTCAGGCCCAGCTCCTTCCTCCCCAGGACCTAGGTGGGAATCCTAGCTCCCTTGGGGTCTCACGAGCTGCAGCTGAACTGCAGACCCAGTCCCAACACCCCTCTAGGACTGCCTCAAACTTCCTCCTCTTTTTATACTCCTCTGTACCCCAAGCTAACCCTTGAGCTTTTCCCCCTAAAACCCACTCCTTCACTGGTTTGGGCGTACATGTGTTTCCCCACCAGAGGGCGCCCCTGGAGGGCCTCGCGGTCCTCAAGGACCCACTGCACAGGACCTGGAACTTGGGAAAGCTGAAGACAGGTGACCAAAGCAGCATTCTTGCTCCCTCCTTTCCCCCTCAGCCTCCACTGCCCAGTCGCACTCAGTCCCATCCTCCTGCCTCCTCACTCTCTGCCCCTCTCCTAGGCTCAGGCTTCATCCTCTCCTGCCTGGACCATCACCCCAGCCTCCCAGCCTCCCCGCACAGCTCCAGGGGCTCATGCTACACCCAGAGCGGACTCTGCCCCTTCCCTGCTCACAGGCCTTCCCTGGCGCGCCAGCACCCCCAGGACAAAGTCTCAACTCCTCAGCCTGGTGTTCAAGACCCCATGTGACCTGACTATCCACTTCAAGTCTCCACCAGCCCAGTGGTTCTCAACCTGAGGCTATTCTATCCCCCATGAGCATTTGGCATTGTCTGGAGACATTTTTGATTGTCACAATGTGGGGCGGGTAGGGGAGGTGCAGAGGGTACTGCTGGCATGTAGTGGGTAGAGGCCAGGGATGCTGTTAGGTATCCTACAAGGCACAGAATAGCCCAGACAACAAAGGATTACCTGACCCCAAGTGTCAACAGTGCAGAGGTTGACAAACCCTGCTCTAACCACATGCTGTTCTCTCTGTTGAAACACTCTCCCCTTCTTTCTCCCCTTGGTGATTCCGGGGAGGAGTTCTGGGCCCCACTCAAACTTCTGCAAGAAGTCTTGGCCCACCCATATGCCTCCCTCCACCTCCATTTCCACACTTGTGCTCTCCACTAGAGGGCTCTCCTAAAAGACCTCCCTATTCCCAGGGCTCTGAAGCACAGGACCTGGAATTGGGAATGCTGAGAAAAAGATTAAGTGAAATAAAGATCCTATGAATTACCCATTCCCTCTAGGAAGGCCTCGTTTCCAGTCTCGAAGCCGGTGCTCCCTGCAGAGAGTCCAAAAGGCATCTTTCCCAAAGAGGGTGGGACTCCTGTAGGGATAACACAGGACCCCTTCAGACAGCAAGCAGGAGAGGGCGGGGAGGAGGTGGGCAACGAACAGTGAGGGACTAGAACTTGGAAGATGACCCCAGAATCAGCTCTGGCCTCTCTCTCTGAGTCTCAATTCCTCCAATGGGTTGGAGGCGGGACACCTCTCGGGCCTCTCGCCACACTCCTCCTGACCTCCCACCTCTCACAGTCTCTGTCATGCATCTTGGCTCTGACTCTGGCGCGGGGGACAGGTCCCTTAGGCTCTCCGTATCTCTGAGGGGGGCTGTTTGGGGAAGGGATCACAGAGGAAGGTCCGCTGGAGGAAACGAGGCCCCTTCCCTACCTGCTGGAGTGCCTGTCCTGTCCTTGGTGCTCCTAGTTCACTGTTGTGGTCTGGTTACTGGGGAGATAAGGGGCCAATGAGGCCTGAGGACAGAGGTAGGGGAGGGACCGACCGCGAGGAGAGGCTGTGGGAGGGGAGGCTGGGAAGGAGTGGCCGATGAGGCGGCGAGAAGACCTGCTGGGATCTCCAGGGCTTTCAACAGAACTCTTGGGGAGCCCTGTGAGGGGTGGGGCTGTGGGCCCATAAGGGGCGGGGCTAGGAGGGCCCGCGATAATCGGGGCTTCGAGGTTTGCGAGGGGAGGGCTCGGAGATCTGTAAAGGGCAGAGACGATAGGGTCTGCAAGGTTTGGGGCTGGGGAAATCACAGGTACCTGTGAAGGGCGGGGCTGCGAGGATTCTCGAGGGGAGGAGCCCGGGTACCTGAGGAGGACGAGGCCACAGGGCCTGGAGAGAGGTGGGGCTATGGGGGATTCCGAGGGGAGGTGCACGGTACCTGAAGAGGGCGGGGCTTCTGGGGCCAGGGAGGGGCGTGGCTGGAAGAACACGTGAGGAGCCTGTTGGGAGGGCGCTGGAGGGACCGTAGTTCCCGAAACTTGTGGGGTCGGGGCTAACCAGGAGGCACTCCGGCTGGAAGGGCCTGCGGGCGGTCGGGAAGGGCTGCATGGGGAACACGGGCCGGTGAGTGTCGGGCTGTGTTTCCAGGAATGGCAGGCAAGGTTGGGAGCGAAACGTCTGGAAGGCCGAGGTCCTTCGGGAGGAGTCCGAGAGAAGCTTGTCTTAAGCTGATTAGGACCACTTTATTTTGAGGATTCATTAGCAGGACGGTGGTGCCGACGCCGGGAGTTGTGAGGGGAAGTAGCGCTCACCACCGCCTCAGGGCCTCCCAGCAGTTCACTACGCACGCGCGGCCAACGGCCTCCTGACAAGCAGCCTAAAACCCTTTGCTGCCCGCGGGGTCCGCAGACTGAGACGGAAGTGGGCGGGGCCTCAGGCACTTCATGCAGCCCCCGCTTTCCGGCCACGCCCCGTCTGGGCACACCCCCTCACCCCGTAGGGCACGCCCCTTTAGTGGTCCGCTGCTGCCCACGTGGTCCTCCCCAGAGCCCGCGGGCAGTGAGCGCTCCTCTCCGGGCAGGGTGTGCCCAACGCCTGCGGTTTCCTGTGGGAGGAAGCCGCCTCCGAGGCCCTCAGCTCTGCTCGTAGCGTTGGAGGCCCAGGAAGGGGAGATCCCGCCACCGCTCTCTGGTCCTCTGATTCTCCCCCATCACAGAGCTCTAAATGGGAGACCCCCTGAACATCCCCAGGGTACGCAAGTCTGGCGCTAATACCACTCAGGGAACTTGATTCAGAGTCCCACCCTCCTGTTCCTGTTCTCCACCTACCCCCCCCTCAAATTTCCATCTCCCTAACTTCTGATCCCCAGACTCCTCCCCACCATCAGCTGGGGGTGGGGGGGAGAGGGGCCTGGTCCCCCTGTGTCTGCACTCCCTGAAAAGCATGTGACCCTCTAGTCCCTAGATTTTCCTTCAGTGACCCAGGCTTTCTAACTTTGTTGGGGTTCTGAATTCAGACCCCCAGTTTCTGTCCTGCTCAAAGACAAGTTTGTGACTCCCTATATATTCCCCAATCCAGGGGCCCTCATTCTGTACTCCCAATTTTTTCGTCTTGGGACCCAATGGATCCAAGAATTTGCCCCTTCCCCAAGTCCTAGAGACCTTGATCTAGGGTCCCCCAGTATAGAACCCACTCAGGGCCCCAATGCCTGATATAACTAGCAGTGCTTACGATGTACTGGGCACTACTCATCTACCCTAATGCATTCACTATTATTATCCCTATTTTACAGATAGAGAAAATGAGGCATAGCGAGGTTATTAGTAACTTGCCCAAAATCACAGCTAATGAGTAAAGCAGCTTGGATTTGAATCCAGCCAGGGTGTCTCTAGTGTTTGTGCTATAGGTACCCCAGCTTCCAGGTCTTCCTGAGTACCCACCCAGTCACTGAACTGCCTGTTCCTCACCCACACAGGGAATCCACATAACCAACCATTCTCCCTCCCCACAGCTCTGGCCCCATCAGATACCCAGACTCGCCATTGTCCAGTACCCTTCCTTTGCAGGGATCCAGAATTTCAGTTTGCCAGCTCTCAGATTCCATATCAGGACCCCAGACACCTGGTCCCCTGTCCCTCACTATTCATCAGCACTCAGCCCTTCCAAGACACCCAGGTACATAGTAGTCATCACCCCCCACCCTAATTCAATAACCCCCAAATTAACAATAATAATAATAGTTAACATTAAGACCCTGGTACTGTACTTCTGTTAAAAACCTTCCAATGGCTTCTCACTGCACTTAGAATAAAGTCCAAACTCCTCCCCCTAGCTTTCAAGGGCCCTCTTTGATTTCCCTTCCTTCCATTCCCTCTAGCTCCCTATATTCCAGCCACAGTGGCCCTTCTGTTTGCTCCCCAAACAACCTGAGCTTGTTCTCAAGAGCCTTTGCACTTCCTCTTCCCCATGTCTTCAGGTCTCAGCGCTGATGTCACCTCCTTGGAGAGGCCTTGTCTGATCACCCTGTTTAAAGTAGGTTCCCCCCACATACACACTCATTATCTCTGGCACTGTATTTTGTTTCCTTCAAAGCCCTTATGACTATCTGAAATTTATCTTCTTCATTGATATGTTTTCTCTTTATTCCGTCTCCCTCTACTAGGAAGGTAAGCTCCACAGTAACAGTAGGGTCACACATCTGTTTTCTTTATTATTAACTCCTGGTTAATAGATGCTCAATAAATGCTTGATGAAAAAAGGAATGAATGTGTTAGGTGTTTTAGTGTACTCATATTACCTTATTCATTTAGAATAAGTATCAGACTCATTATTATCAGTATTAGTATATTGTCAGTATTACCAATATTATTATACCCACCTCACAGATTAGGAAACTGAGGCTCAGTGAGTTGACATAATTGATTGGTCAAGGTCCCCCAGGCAGGAAATGGTGGCGCTGGGATTCTTAACTTCCACCTCCTGCCCCCTTTAGAGTTCATACTTCCCCATTTCCCATCCCGACACCCTCCATGGTACTAACTTCACCTGTCTTCAGCCCTCTCCACATAGCAGGAATCTGGCCTCCTCCGTCAGACTCCCATCCCTCTGAGTATCCAGTCCTCAACCCCATCAAGGAAAGCAGACATTCGTTCTCAGCTCCCAGGACAAGACCCAGAGCAGATACCTGAAACTTGGGCCCTCCCACCCACTGATGTTTGCCCCACCCCAGGGTTCTGCTGCGCTCTGTTGCCAATCCAACGATTTCTCATCTCAACCCCGGGAGAAAACCCAGAAAAGATGCGTGTCTGAGGGGAGTGGGCGGGGGCTCACAGAATGAAGAACCCAAATGCCTGGGCCCTCCCTCTGGCTGCAGACCTCAGCTGGGTGCGGTGAGGGTGGGTATAAAAGGGTCAGTATATATTGAGAGGAGCAGAGGAAGAAAAGCCAGGAAAGTGAGAAGAGTGAAAGACGGAGGTACAGGACAGGAGAGAGACAAGAGGCAGAAGAGAGAGAGAAGGAAGGAAGGAAGGAGGGAGGGAGAGAGGGAGAGGGAGAGAGAGACAGAGAGAGACAGAGAGAGACAGAGAGAGAGAGAGAGAGGGTTAGTTAGTTCCAGGATTGGAGGGGAGAAGCACGGAGTGGGCCAGAGGGGAGACTGGGAGGGAGGGAGGCAGCGAGGGAGGCGGGGGCTTTGAGAGGGTGGAAGGAGGGAGGAGAAGGGCGGGGCACCGAGGCCCAAGCGTGAAACAGGCTCCAACTCTGACTTTTTCCGCCGCTCTCGGTAAGTTTCCAGTCCGTTATCCGGACTGGGATTTCTTTATTTACTTGGGAGTGCAGCCGTTTGGGAAGGACACCCCTATGGAAATCCTTGTAATTTCAGAAGTGATCTCTTGGCACTTGGGTGGGGATTCAGGAAGGGGTGGGGCCCGGCAAAGTTTGGGGGTGCCCAGCAGAGCCCTTCACCTGAAAATATCCTGTAGTTTTTCCCCACAGCTGTCCACTTTCCCCTGAGGACCCTGAGATCAGGGCTTTGCATGAGAACACCCCAAGTCTGGGGAACCTCCAGGCCCCCTCCCCTTCTGTTTGCTCCTTCTCAGGCCTCTCCCCTCCCAAGAGGCATCCCATCCATTTTTGCCACAAGATGCCCAGCAGGCACCAGTCTGGCAGCAGAATGGGGTGGGGACCTGGTGGGCATAGCCAGGGGCTGGGGTTTCCCTGGTACTTGGAGGCAGGAGAGTGGGATGAGTCATCGATGACTCACCCGGTACCCCTCCTCCCCCTACTCCAGGAAAGGGGTGGGGTGAGTCAAGGATGTCTGTCTCTGAGGACAGGCTTAGCTTCTGGTGAATCTGGAGGGGTGTCGATTTGAAGTTTTAGATTCTGGTTCATATGCTCCTAGGGATAGGGCTCTGAGGAGACGGGATCCACATCGCTAGTCCTACTCACTCCTGGACCCAAGAGTCCATCCCTGGCCATCTCCAGCCCCTGGGGAATTCAGGAATCTGGGTCCCCAGCCTCCTCCTCCCTCCAACCCAGGAGTCCGGGCCCCTAACTCCTTCCTTCCTCAGACCCAGGAGTCTGGACTCAGCCCACCTTCTCCAGGAGGATTCCAGCATCTCACCCGCCCCCGTGCCTACCTTTTGAAACAACCATCTCCTGACGTCCCCTGCCCCAGGCTTCCACCGCAGCTATGTCACTCCTCCTGCTGGTGGTCTCTGCCCTTCACATCCTCATTCTCATCCTGCTTTTCGTGGCCACTTTGGACAAGGTAAGCCTACGGAGCAGCAACACCGGGCCCCCCCCCCCAACCCTCTCCCATCTCCACACACACACTCTCCTGCAGACTCCCGACACACCCCTCCTTTAAAAGTCACTCCAGCGCCGCCCCTTTTCCCTGACATCTACCCGTTTGAGCTCTGCTTCTGATGCCTCACCCTGCCCTTTCCCCTGACCTCCCCCCCATTCCTACTAAACCCATGCATTCCCCAGTTCAGCCCCTTCCCCAGTACCTCACCCCTTTCCTCGCCCTTCCCAGACTCCCTGACCACTCCCACTTTCCTTTCATACCCCTACCCTTGTTTCTCTGTCCATCCCAGTCCTGGTGGACCCTCCCAGGGAAGGAGTCCCTGAATCTCTGGTATGACTGCACGTGGATCAATGACAACAAAACGTGGGCCTGCAGTAATGTCAGCGAGAATGGTGAGGGGCGTTGGGGACTGGTCTGCAAAGGGGAGGGGTAACCCCAAGTCTCCTCCTGGGACCAAGGATTGGGACTCTGTCAAGGTTTCACTTGGCAGGTCTGGGTCTCAATGCTGAGTGAGTTGGACTGATGTATGATGCACCTATCTTGCTGGTAGGGGGCAATATGCTCCTATTCTAAAGAGTATGCGCTAAAAGCCCTCCTCCCTTATGATTCAGAAAGAGTGGAGGCCACAAGCTATAGGTTTAAGGAATGAGGAGAAAACTCCCAAGATTCTGAGAAGATAGGATTATGTTTCCAAAGTTCTAAGGAGATTGAACTGGTGTTGGGAATGGATGGCTGGGACCAATTTGTCCAAGTTCCAAGGGGGTGGGGCTGGAATCACATTGAGGTTCTAAAGTGGTGTGGTTGAATCCTTCCAAGGTTCTAAAGGAGTAGGGGTGACAGATGCATCTGAGTTCTAGAGGGGAGGAGTTGCATCCATCAAAACTTTTAAGTGAAAGATGAAATGCTTTTCCCCTAAGTGTGAAACAAGAATTTCTGTTCTCACCAATTCTATTCAGTGTTGTACTGGAGGTAGCCAATGCAACGAGGCAAGAAAAAGAAATAAATGGCATAAAGATGGAAAAGGAAGAAGGAAAAAAAAAGTTTCTATTCCCAGTGGACATGTTTATGTAGAAAATCCTAAAGAATCTGCAAAGATGCTTCTAGAACTGATAAGGGAATTTAGCAAAGTTACAGGTATCAAGGTCAATAAACATGATACTCCTAAGTATCCAAACTTGTATGGCTCTAAATGGTGGTGTGTGCAGGGGGCGGAGGGGCGGGAGGAGTACAAATGATGAATTAGCAGGTGGAGCTGGAGCCCTGGACCTGCTGTGACTTCCACCTTTATCTCCTCCTTGTTGCAGGCTGGCTGAAGGCGGTGCAGGTCCTCATGGTGCTTTCCCTCATCCTTTGCTGCCTGTCCTTCATCCTGTTCATGTTTCAACTGTACACCATGCGGCGAGGAGGGCTCTTCTATGCCACTGGCCTCTGCCAGCTTTCCACCAGTGAGCACTGTTCCCTGAGAATTGAAGGGAAGGGAGTGGGCCTGTCAGGATGCTGGGGCCCCTGAGAATGGATGTCTGGTAAAAAAAAAAAAAAAATCTCAACAGCCTCCATGGCACCTCTCTGCCTCCCAGGGACTTATTGGAGTTGTAGTTTTCAGTGACTCAAAAATGGTTTGTGTAGTATGGGTCTTAGTCATGGGGGAGCTGGCACTTGGGGCTTCAAGGAACCAGGGCTGAGAAAGGTGGTGTGGCAAATAATTTAAATCCCAGGAATGGAGGTGAGGGTAGGTAGTTAATAACCCAGGAGAGAACTCTGACTCATAATAGTAGTGATGTTATAATGGCAGCCAACTGCTGTTTCTGGTGGACCTACTGCACTTCTGGGAGTTTTATGTACTTTTCAATTTTTTTTACTTCTGGTGCAAAGGGCTAAGTTAATTATAGCCCTCAGTTTGAGGAACATTATCTTCACCAGGTTCCTGCAAAGCACCCCTCTTGTTTTATTAATTCAGTTTTTGCGTGCGTGGCTTGTAGAAAGACACTCAAAAATGTTCCTTAAATGGGTGGATGGATGAGTAGATAATATCATCCCATTTTTATGGATGAGTAAAGGGGATCTGGAGATTCAATTGCTCAAAGACAGTCTGTAGTAACCAGGTTGCACCGCTCTATACGAGCGAACCACGATTCCCAGCAGGCAGCGCTGCTGCCCACTCGTCCTCCAACGGTTTCTTTGCCCCGTGGGTTGTTGGGAAATGCAGTCTTCTTGAGGCTACGGTGTGACACGGGGTTCCCGTCTCCCCACAGGCGTGGCTGTTTTTACCGGGGCGCTGATCTACGCCATTCACGTGAAGGCCATCCTAGAGGATCGTGCGTCCAAGGGCAATTTCGGTTACTGCTTCGCTCTAGCCTGGGTGGCCTTCCCCCTCGCCCTGGCCAGCGGCGTCATCTACATTCACCTGCGGAAGCGGGAGTGAGCACTGCGCATCGCCGTGCCGCACGCCTCAGCCCGCTCCCGGCCTCTGCTTCACCCCGCCCCCGGAAAATAAAACCTTTTCACCGCCAGCTCTGCCTTTGCCTGCTTCCTTTCTTCGTCCAGGGACCCAGGCTGCTCACGCCTGATCGCTCCTGAACCTGGGGCAGCCCCCACCAGCAGCAGCTCCGTCCTCAGAATGTCCAGCTCCCGGCCCCCAGTCCCTTCTAAACCCGAAACAGGGGTCCCAGCCGCCTTTCCCTTACGTAGAGGCCCTGGGTCCTCCCATCGAATATCAGGATTCCTCCGGAGTGGAGACCTTCAGGCACTTCTGGAAAAGAACCAGGAATCCTGGTTTCCAGTCCTCTCTCCCCTTGTGCAAAGGTCATTCTCAACCAGGCAGGGTGTGTGTGTGTTGCTCTAAGATTGTTGGTCTCTTTTTTTCTCATTCTGTCCCTTCCTCTGGGAAGACACTTGACCATTTCCCTCTTAGAACCCAGCCTCCTTCCTTCATCACAATCCAACCCCTTTCCCCTTCTCCCAAAATGCTGCCTCTAGCCAATATGAGACCTTACTAAAAATCAGATGCCATCCCACCCCTTCTCCAGGTTTACCCAGCCCCACATTAGAACACGTAGGGAGGAGGAGGCTGGATTTTACACTCACTCATTCCCCTGGCTGTGTGCCTTTGTGCAGTGAACACAACTTCACATGGCCTCCCATTTTCAAAAGACTCAATATTTTGGAGAACCAGAGCCTCTCCTCAACAATCAGGTCCTAAGATCCTCTTCTGTGATCCACAGCCTGTCTGTTTCACAAACTACACGCCCGGTCTCTCTCTAGGATTACAGCTTCTTCTGCCTGGGACCCACCCCAATGCATTCCCCAGGACCGAGAGTCTCTTCTTTCCAGGGTTCTGATGCTTTTTCTATCCAATTCCTGCAAACTACCCCACTCATCCAGATTTATTAACCATGGTTTATTCCTTTGGGAGAGGGGCGTGGGGAATTGATAGACCAATAAATATTGCACAGGCCACTGCTGGAGGAAAGATCCAGACCGAGGTAGTTTCTGTAGAAAGGGTAAGGGACCTGGGCAGGGATGGCACCAGAGGTTGTTGGGGCCTAGTGGAAGTGCGTCTTGAAATGAGAATGGTCTCTGGTTCCTCCTAGCCCACAACTTCCTGCCTGGCAAAAGGCTCCCAACCCCTTCAGCCCGAACAAGCTGATCAGTAGTTGACCAGATGGCCTGACTTACACGTAACTGCAATTAATAGATTGTTTCCTTTAGAAATTCTGATTAGTTGCTTCTATGCAGCGACAACTGGCTGCCTAAGGTTGAGAATGCCCAGAAACTGTCATTGGCAGTTTGCCAGAGAGCAGGGCTAACCGGCTCTCATTGGCTGCAGGCTGGGACTCTGCCTTGGTGAACATGATGGGCAGTATGCCCGGAGCGGAGCGGGCTAAAAAGACAATGATATATAGCCTCAGGAGAGCACAACTTAACTGTGCCAGGTGGTTGGTAGCGTTGAACAGCTGTGATTGGCTGACACTCCCTCCTCAGCCAAACCACAGCTTGGATGTTCAGTGGAGGTGGGACTCAGAAATGGAATTGAAGCAAAACCAAAAAGCTTTGATTGGTTAGCTGTTCATCAAAAGGGGTGGGGCTAGCAAGTGTAGGCTGTCTTGATAGGCGGCTTTATGAATACAGTGTAATGTGATCGCCTGCCATTGGAAATTGAGGAACTGCAAAGCGTAGTAGCCGTGATTGACAGCTTGTCATGGGGAAGGCGGAGCTCAGTTCCTAAACAGGTGGCTGGGTGGGGCTGGGTTGAGAGGTTTCTGTCAGGGGTTGTCACTCCTGGGTGAAGCCTGGGGCGAAGTGATTGTAGCCAATGGCTCTAGTTTGGGGAACCCGGGGGGCGGGTACATCCCGTTGCTGGGGGTCAGGGCTTGCAGGTGGCCCATAGCCCGAGCTCCGTTGAAGGCCACGTCACAGCCTGACTGGGCCAGGAGCCAGTTCTCCACCTCGGACTGGAGCCACTGAGAGGTCTCTGCAGGGGGAGAGGCAGGTGTTGTGAGGAGGTCAGAGGGACCAGGAAGGACTGGGAGGGGGCAGGGCAAGGAATATGAGGGGCCTGGGTTTGGGAGAAGCCTAGGGGTATATTGAGGCTAGGAGGAGCACGGGAAAAGGCCTGGAAGGCTCGTCTCTGTGGCTCTCTTCTGGGGACAAGCCAGGGAAGGGTCGGGGCTCCTGTTGGGAAGGGAAGACTTGGGGCTTATACAGGGAAGAGACAAGGGTCTCTTGTAGGGAAAGTGGGCTCACATATTGGAAGGAGCAGGCAAGGAATGGAGCATGAAGAGGGGCATGCCACAACAGGAGTCGTCTGATCCAAGACCCCCATGGCGGCTGAGGTCAGGAAAGGGAGACCACCCCAGGAAAAAACCATGTCTATCAAGATCGTAAACTGGGTTCCGGGGTCCCTGAAGCTGAGAGCCTGGGTCGCCTCGGAAATAGATCAGCTTCACCAGTGGGAGCAGGGAGTAGGGGGCGGGCAGCATGGGGATGGTATCTCACTGGGGCAGGGCCACTTGGGACTGAGGGGAGTAGTAACAGTGTAGAGTGGGTTCTGGGTGGGGCCACGTCGGAGTCAGGCCAAGATGGGATGGGTGGGGTTCCAGAGCCAGGTCCTACCTTCCGGCCTGCTGTGCCTGCCCAAAGGCCTACGGGCCAGGAAGCTGTGCGCCAGCAGTGCCTCCTTGGTGTGTTCGTCATGAGCGCGCAGGGCCAGGGCGCTGAGAAGCTCCGAGTTGTTGGACGTGCTGCGGTAGTAGAGCATGTGCGCCAGCTCCAGCGCCTGCATGCTGCGCCGCTGTCCGAACATCTGCAGACCGGACAGCTGCAGCTTGGCGACCCGGAGGGGTAGGGCTGTGCTCGGACCCCATACACACACCCCTCCTGGTCACTCACGCTGGTGCGGTTCTTCCCGCGGAATCCTGGGCCCTCTCTAGACCTCTGGTTCAGGTCTCCAGGCCCAGACCCCCGATATTTGTATTTTTAACCTACACGCTGTCGCCCCAATGACTCCAAGGCCGCCAACAATATTTTGCAGCCGCTGTGCTGGTTTGCTCATCTGAGCCACACATTAATGGATTTGTTCAAGGATTTCCGGATAATATGAGCTTTTTAACCTTGTAACTTCTTGTTACAATTATTTTTTTAAAGTCTTTATCTTTTAGATACATACTAAAGTATTTGCAGGTGATATGTCTAGGATTTGCTTTAAAATAATCCAGTAGTGAGAGAGCGGGATCTTCAGGTGGAACCTAATTGACTATTGCTAATTGTAGACGCCGAATGCAAGGCTACATGGGAGCTAGCTCATCATATTATTCTACTTCTGCATTTGTTCGAACTTTTCAATAATAAAAAAGGTTTAAAATATTAAATTGTAAAGATAAGTGTTAAACAAAAAATATTCCAAAAGCAGTTTTGAGGATTGAAGGGAGGAAGGGGCCAGTCTGGGGCCAGCTGTCAGTTCGCTGCCCAATTCTCCACCCTTGGCCCTCTCCCGGCCTGGGTCCCTCTCCCCATACTCGGTGTCCCTAAGGAGGGAAATTAGAGCCAACTGGTGCCCCCTGGGGCTCATACTAAAATCCTCTGCCCGGATTCTTCCATTCATCCGCAAAATGGGCTCAAAAGGAGCTTCGGGGCCTGGGAGCCAGTTCCAACTCTTCCCCCTGCCGGCTATGAATAGGTTTCTAAGATCTAGTCCCTGGGTAGGGCAGTCTGAAAGGAGGTGGATGACAGGAAGTGCTCAGGAAGTCAATATACAGTTAATGAAACTCTTGGCACAGAGCCTGGCATAACAAGCATTTAAATATTAGCTACTACTGAATATTTGTCCACACTCTAGCCTGGGTGCCGCCTTTTAAATACCAGCATCTACGGCCCTTAGAGTGTTGGTGAAATGCCTCTGAAGTCAACACACCCCTGAGGAAAATGCTGAAATGGCCTGCATGGTACCAATGACACAGCTGTGTGTGGACTGTGCTCTCTTCTTACACGCTCAGCACAGCAGGTTTATGTCCCTACGTTGGAACGAATCACCATTTCTATGCTGAAGGCAAGATTCAGAAATTGCATGCGTTAGGGACCATCTGATATGAAAATACATTGAGTTTTGTGTCTGTTTCTGCCAAGCAGAAGGCATTGAGTTCTCACAGGTTAAAAGAGAACTCAGATGAGATCAGACCTCCCCTGGAGAGGGCTCACCACATGCCACCTGCGTGTTCCCTTCAACACTCACCACAGCCCACACTACATGCAGGGTTTACCCTCACCTAACCGCCCCCCAACTCCTCCCTCCTCCCCTGGAGTTCATATCTGGGGTGACCCCACCATTTACCCAGTCACAGGTTATACCCCTGGCACCATCCTCGCCCCCTCTTCACCAGCCTGTCAGTCCTCAGCCCCATCCTCCTGCCCTGACTCTCTCTGCCCTGTCCCCTCCTCTCTAACCCACCTAGCTCATCACCCGGCTCAATCTCCCTGCTCCAGTCTGTCCTCTCACAGCCCCAGAGCTGACACTGCTCCTCCCCTGCTCAGAACCCTCCCATGGCTCCCCAGTGCCCTCAGAGAGTCTGAGCTCCTTGGCCTGGCACAGAGGCCCTGCATGGCCTGGTCCCTAAGGATTCCTCCCACTCACCGCCCACTCCGCCCCTCTGAATGCAGCCCATGTTGAACGAACCAATTAACCCTGAACATCACCCTAAGTACACCCCACTCTCAGGCCTCTGGGCCTCGGAATGAGCCCAGTCGCCTCTGGTCCATTCTAGAAAAACACTACCTCATTTTCAAGGTTCAAGATGGACATCACTTCCCACAGATGAGCAGCTGTGTCTTCCGATTCCTAAAGTGCTCACTGTGACCTCCGTTAGGCATGTGGAGGTCTGTCCGTGTGCCCCACACCATTCCCTCCAAGACAGGACCACCCTGATGTGTCTCGAGGGTGCCAGCTCATCAACCTTCCCAGGCTGCCCACCCCCCGACCTACTCAGTGCTGGGCTAGGGGCCCACAGTGAACCAGGGTAGGGCGGGAGCCCACAGGCACACTATTCCAGCTAGAGAAACATCCAGGAAGGCTTTCTGGAGCCTCTGAGCTAAGGGTAAGGGGCGAGCAGGGTTCGTCAGCCCAATAAGGGAGGAAGGACATTTCAGTAGGAGGAAAAGCATATGCAAAGGGAGGGAAGGGAAGGGTCGCAGAGGGAGGAGGCCCTACCAGTATATTTTGGTGGAGCTAAAGCATAGAATTGTGTTGGATGAGGCTGGAGAAGTAGGTGCTCTGGTGCCAGGTTGTGAGCATGAGAGAAGCAGGGCCAGTCTGGGGCCATCAGGGGTGGCCTGGAGGGGACAAACTGGGAGGCTGGGAAGAGGGGCTGAGCTGGGGCTGGGGCTGGGGCTGGGACAGTGGGGAGGAGATGGCACAGAGAGACTCGGGGGACAGGAAGGAAGGGCTGGGGACTGACGAATTGGATTAGGGGGCAGGGTGAGGGGCAACTTCCAGGGTTCTGGCCAGTGACTGGGGGACAGCCATGAATAGAAGAACCAGGAGGAGGAGTGGGTGTGGGGGAGACACTGCGCTCCGCCTGGCCAGGTTGGCTGCTCCAGGCTGAGCACAGAGCACCCCAATCTAGGAGATGGAGGAGAGTTGCTTGTGGAAACCGCACAAGTGGATGAGCTCTTTGAGAGCTAAGAAAGAGGGGTATGCATCCTGCAGCAAGACCAGCCTCCCAGGTGTCTGATCTGAACGCCTGTCCCGACACAGGGGCTAGGGAGGAGAAAGGGGCTTGGGGAATATGAATGCTGAGCTCAGTGCAGATGCGGTGTGTGTGGAAAGGGCATGAGTGTGTCCAGAGAGCAGGTGAGGATGGGGGCTTGGGGTCCGGGAGAGGTGTCAGAGATCTAGGAGTGAGTGATGTGCAGGAAGGAACAAGTGTGCACAGGGAGGGGCAGGTGGACTGAGGCTTGGTGGGGACACATTTAGGGCTTGGAGGCTCAGCCTGTTGAATGGATGCACTGAATTAACTAGTGAACTGGGTTTTAAACTGGGCCCTTCAGAGCCAGAGGGTCGCGCACTCCATCCATGCTTACAGTGCTTCCACAGCTCCTGCTGCCCTCAGAAGCAAGCCCAGGGCCCCTACCTTGGCATGCAACGCCCTTACTACCCACCTTCTGGGGCCTTACTTCTCCACCCTGCATCCCAGACCCCAGCCCTGTGAGATCCCCCTCGCCCAAACCCTTCTCCAACAGGCTCAATCCTCTCCTTCCCCAGCTTTCCTCAGTCCCGCCTGACCCCTGGTCCTGGGGGGAATTGCTCCTGTGCCCTTCCTTCCCCAGCCCTTCTCCCTCTCAGCCAGCACAGTCTGGCTGTTATCTGCGGAATTTATTGCCAGCCTTCCTAAGAGCCCGTTGGGATGGCTGAAAACAGCTTGAAAACCAATGAACCAGCGAATGAATGATTGGGTACAACAGACGCCTCACGCCAGCCCACACCCTGGGGCCAGTGCCAATCCTGGGGATGATAAGTACAAGGCAGCCCCTCCAGGCCAACTCAGCTTTTGAGACAGGGCACATGGCTGGGCCAGCAAGGCACAAGTTGGGTGTCGGCCCCCACCTGTCCCCTCAGCCATGAAACCTTGGATGGTGAACAACATGCACAATTGTATGAGGCAGCCCTGCCCGCACATGTCACAGAATCAGGAAAGCAGCTTGTTAAAAACAGCTTCCTGGGCCCCAGTCCCAGAGTTTCCAATTCAGTCCATTTAGATGGGAGCCCAGGAGGCTGCATTTATGAAACAGTTCCCCTGGTGACAACGACACCTGGCCAGGATGGGGAAGCCCAGACTCAGGGCACAATAGCCCAGGTAGTAATAATAGTAATGGCAGCAGCTAATACTCATATAGTACCTTCTGTACTACGTGTCAGCTCTGTTCTCAGCACCATATGTGTATCAATTCATTTAAATCCCACAACAACCCTATGAATTAGGTCATATTGTCATCTCCACTTTCCAGATGCGGGAGCTGAGGCAAGAGGTTAAACAGCTTGTTCAAGGTTGCACAGCTAGAAGACTGTAGAGCTAGATTCAAACCCAGGCAGTCTGGTTCTAAGACACACATCCCTCGCCCCATCACTAAGTGCCTTTCAAAGCAGGAACTCAGTGAGTGGCTGTGAACACTCAAATAGCACCTACCACATGCCAGGCACTGTGCCCAGTGCTCTTCATGGATTCACTCTTTTAATCCTCACAACAGCCCCACGGGGTACATGCTCTTATTATCATCCCCATTTTCCAGGTGATGATAATTAAGCACAGAGAGATTAAGAAACCCACTGGAAAAAAAAAAGGAAACCCACCGAAGGTTGTGTTGAGTAAATAAGGTAGAGGAGGAAGAAAGGAAAGGAGGAAGGAAGAGAGGGAGGGAGGGAGGACAGCAGGGAAGGTAGGAAGAAAAAAGGAAGGCAATGGAAGAAGGGGGAAAGGGAGCCAGGAAAGGTAGAAAGGACAAAGGAAAGGAGTAAAGCACAGCATGAAGCAGGAGTAACGCATGAAATAAAGAAAGAAATAGGGTAGCCTGACCTTCTGGCTGAACCCCAAGAAGAAGGGACCCAGAAGGCATGGCAAGTGGCCCACTTACCTTGGAGGCCCGCAGGCCCATGAAGGCAGCAAAGAGCAGCAGCAGCAGGGAGGTGGCCATCTTGAGGTCTGAGAGCACCACCATACACACGTTGACGAAGAACGCCACGCCTGAGACCACAAGCGTGATATTGAGCAGGGCACGCTGCAGTGCGGGCGTGCGCACCTTCAGCGCAGGCAGCAGCTGCTCCAGGCCCTCCAATGGTATGTCCTTGAAGCTTTTCAGCACCAGGTGCCCCCGCTTTGTTCGGGCCGCTAGCACGACCCGCTTAAAGTATCTCCTGACGGGTAGAGACAGAGAGGCCAGGGTGGTCAGGACTGACCCAGGGAGCCCCCTCTAATCCCAGGAAATTCTCTTTAAGCTCTGCAGTCACACAGTCATTTAAAAAGTTACTTAACAATGGTGGGAGGAAAATCAGAAATAGGCTAAGTGCCCAACAATGGGGGATCAGTTATATAATGCAATCCCCTACTGTTGGACACAGGTTGCTTCTGATTTTATATACTTGATAAAAGAGAGCTGAATAAAATTCTTTTGTCTAGTTAATTTCAAATTCAAATTCTACATATATTTTAGAGTGTCTGCTAGGTGCCAGGGAGTGCTATGAAGCTCTGAAGAGATAACAAAATGAGTCAGTCACTGCCTCTGTGGAGTTTATAGTGCAGTGTGAGAGACAGATAATTAAACACACACTCTGCAAGTATAAATATCTCCTTGGAATAGTTTCCCGGAAGTGGAATTACTGGTTTAAGGAATGTGAGGGGTTCTTTGTCTTTGATTTTTGTTTTGTTTTGTTTTTGGACTTGTGACTATATTTGAAATACTAATTTCCAGAAAGATTGGTAATTGACAGGCCCACTGGCCGACTATGATAAGATCCGGCTCTCCTCACCCTACTCTGAATTTGAATATCCTCTGTTAAAAATATAATGTTCATCAAAATCCCAGCGGCGCCACTCTTTCAGAATGTGGCCTTTCCTCTCTGAGCCTCAGTTTTTCTCATTTGGAAAATGGGTGAAGTGTCCCTACTCTTTCTCTTCCCCTGGGAATTACAGTTCTTACTTTCCCTTGGGAAGAAAAGGTAGCATTTGGATGATTCACCTCTCCCCCTTTCTTGACTTCCCACCCTGGCCCCAGACACCAAAACCCAGGCACTGACCTGTCAGTCCCCTCTCGACTCTAACCTTGCTCCCTCTTGCTGTACCTGGAGAACAAAGGCCGCCTCACCTCTCTGCTGGGGGAGACTTGAAGAAGCCACGCTTGGAGCCCATGCTGGACTTACGGGGAATCTGCCCAACTCGCTGGCCCAGGGCCCAGAACTGTATGTAGATATACTGATCCAAATTTATTGTCACCTGCCAAGGGGGACAAAGGATGCAGAGACAGCTGAGCATGGGCTGGGGTGTGGGTGCAGGATAGTAAAATTAGGTATCTTTCCTCCCGGTGATTTGGCCCCCTCTCCCAGGCATATCAGCACCCAGTGTCTGGGCAGGGCAGTCATGTGTGGTTGTTCATGTTGTATACTGCACAATGGCATACCATCTAAGATGGCACCATTCACATGATAGTCATCTTTACTACCATATTTCCTAGAATCGATGACACCATTGATTTTAAGATACTCCATTATTTTATGAAGCAACTAAAAGAGAAAACATATCACCAATTAAACTATGCCACATCACCATTTAGAAGTCATATCCCAATTTCAGAGACAATAAAATATGACTTTAGAAAAAAAGTACATCTTAAAATCACAACAATGTGGAACTTTGGAAGACTGTAGTATTTTTATTATAATTTCGTTGACTTTAAGGCTAAGCATTTTGTATTATTTATTATTATAATACTATTTTACGGCAGATGACGATAAAGTCTCTAGTCCTAAGAAGATCTATATATTATACTTTTCCAACAGATGGCAGTGAGGTGACCTGAGAAAGAGGTGCTTTTTTCTGATTTACCAAAGGCACCACATGGGCTAGTGTGCTGTGTTCAGGACTACAACTCCCAGCAACCTCTGCCTCCCAAAGGCCCACCCCACCCCAAGGCCTCCTGGGAGTGTTGGTTCTCCTCTGGAAGACGCCTACCTGGACCTCATCCTGAGGGTGGTGGACCACCAGGGCGTAGGCCAGGGTGTCCTCAGAAAGTGGGGAGAAATTGGCCTGGGCCAGCAGGGGCTCCAGAGCTCGAAGCACCTCCTGCTCATTGGACAGACGCTGAGGGTCTGTTAGCGAAGGCTCGTCAAGGGTCTCCCTGTCAGGGTTGATGGGGTCATACAAGGACTGAGGAAAGAATCACAGAGAGGAAAATCAACCTAGGTCACAGCATGAGGGATCGTGGGTATACTTCAGGATGTTCCTGGCTCCATCCTTTAAATGATGGGTACCCAGGGCTTGATTCTGGGCCCTCTTCCCTTTGCTTTCTTCAGATTTGCTCTAAATTGCCTCACCATTCCTAGGCCTTGCAGAAAACTACCCATTCATATCTCCAGCCCGGACCTCTCCTCCAAGTCCCAAACCTGATATCCATTTCTGGTGTGTAAGCATCCATTCTCCCTTGTCCCACAGTAATAGAAGTAAAGGTGGACACAGGCTGCCCAGGGAGACTACATTTCCCAGCCTCCCTTGAGGCTAGATGTGGCCAGAAGACTCAAGTTTCATCCACAGAATGTGAATAGAAGTGATGAGCACACCTTTCCCCTCACTTCTTGCTTGCCCCCCTGGACCTTTCACTCTTTCCTTGTTCGCCAGCTTAGAACACTGTTCTACCCACGACCCAGTTTTGACCACACAGAGATGAAGACAATGCCCTGAGGGAGGCCAGAGCAACAAGATGGAAGGAACCTGGGTCCCAGCATACTCTCACGTGGAACAGGGCCAACTATGCACCCTGGCCCATTTACCACAGGGATATCAAGGGAAAAGAAATTATTCCCCACCTCCTTTAAATCATCATGTTGTGGGGTCTGCTTGTTACAGCAGCTAAGCCTCTATACTAACTAATACAAACTCTCTACTTGACATTTCTTTTTGGATATCACAGTCACCTCAAATCCAACCTGTCAAGCTCACAGATCACAGCCCCACATCTCCAACCTTTCAACAAAACCACCACTCTGGGTTTCCTGTCTCAAACCAATTTTCCTCAACCATTCCTGGCCTCTCCCTTGACTGCCAGACTCATATTTGATGATCTCTTTTACATCTCCAATTGGATGTCATGGCACCTCGTATCTAACATGGTCCAAGGAACATGCTTCATTTCTCCCCGCTCCCAGTCTTCTCCTTTCAGGAAATGGCACCACCATCTATTTCAGAGGCTCTAATCAGAAACCTTAGGGGCATCCTGATTCCTTTCTTATCACCCCCATATCCAGTCCTCTAGCAAGTTCACTGGCTAAATCTCTGAATTGATCTTGACTCCATCTTCCCCTCCGTCTCCACTGCTACCTTCCTATCTAAGCCACCTTTACCTTTCCCCTAAACAATTGCACTGGGCTTTTGTTCTGCCTGCTTCTACACTCACCACTTCCAAACCATTCTCCACACAGCTGTCACAAAGAGCTTATTTAGATTATAAACAGATCCCACATCCTATCCCTCCATTGGCTTCCTACTCCAATAAATTCCAGAATCTTTCCACAACCTTCAAGGTCCCTATAGAACTAGCCTCTGCCTTGCCCACCTCACCCTATACCCACTCACCCAAAAAATTGTTTGAGTGAAAGAATGAGCTCCCAGTTGCCTAGCCTATTTTGCTCATGGAGAGATTGAGTTTCGAGATGACAGATGACTGTCCCAGAGCAAAGAGCAAACATCAGAAGGAAATCACCCCATAAACAAGCCCATAAACCCGCCCTCTGTGTCTCTCTCAGGAGAAGTAGCCTTAAGGAACAACTTGGTCAGGCCAGGTGTGACTTTGAATTAGTGGAAGGAAAGAGGGGAGGGTGCTCTAAGTGAGAGGAATGGCCCAGGGACTCAGCAACAACTAGGTAAAAAGATGGGTAACACAGCGGAGAGTCAAGTCCAGTTCATCCTCTTTTGAACTAACTCCCAGGGCTGCGGCATGCTGGCCAAGGACACCACCTGAGGCCAAAAAGAAGGCCTGTGCCCGAGTCCTTCAGCCCTCGCTGACAGAGCAGGTCCCACAGGCCACATGGAGACCCAAGGAGTGACCTTGAGAAATTCCATTTCCAGGTACGAGCTGCACTTTGTGAGGGAATCTCAGAGCCGGAGGAGAGAGAAATCTGCATTCATCAAACGTCCACTGTGAGCCAGATTCTTTTCTGGGAACTTCACATCCACTCAGGGCTTCAAGCCAGAAACCTGGAACTTGCAAGTGACCTGAGCTGCTCCCTCCCCTAGCAAAATAAATCCTGCAGATTCTATCTCCAAAACAGATCACCAATTCCGCCAGCTCTCTCCTCCCCATCCATACCACCATAGCCTCCTCCTGCCCGGGTGAGTCCAACAGCCTTCTCAATGGTCTCCCCAAATCCCTTCCCACCCCTCCCCCACCAATCTGTTCTCTACACAGCTGCCAGGGAGATCTTGTCAAACAGTAACAATAATACTAATAAATGAGAAAGGTACACATTTATGTAGCACTTACTATGTGTCAGGCATTGTTTGAAGCAAGTTATGTACACGGTCTCACAATGTGAGAATAGTACTATTGCTATCCCCATTTATAGATGTGGAAACTGAGGCACAGAGAGGTTAAACGACTGCCCAAGGTCACACAGTCAGGAAATGGTATATCAGGAATTACACATCCAACCATGTCAATCTCCTGCTAAAGCCCTTCAGGGCTTCTACTGCCCTCAGGAAGGAGGGCTGTGCTCCATACTGGGGCCTGCAAGCCCTCCCAGGGTCTGACACTACAATCCCTCTTAGTTGCTCTACACTAGTCACATTGGCTTTTCGATTCCTTCAGGCACAGGGACTTTGCACATGCTGTTAGGAGACTCTCCCTGGTCCCTTCCCAGCCTCCTCCCCTTTCCATTACTCAAGTCCTACTCCTCCATTGTATTCCAGCTCCCTTATCACTCTCAAAAAGCCTTCCTCCACTCCATAAGCTGAGCAGAGCTGTCCTGTGTGGTTGGGCAGGGTGCGCACTGCACAAAGGTGCCAGATCTAAGAGGTACCATTGTAGATCCTGTAGACCTGTATATTTACAGGTTACCCTTTCCGATGGACATAAAATAAAGGGTATAGAGCAGCATCGTCCAGTAGAACTTCCTGCAGTGATGGAAACATTTAGACCTGCACCAATAGGTTGCCACGGGTCACAGGTGGCTACTGAGCACTTGAAACATGGTGAATGTGACTGGGGGATAGAATTAAATTTATTTATTTATTTATTATTGGGGAAAAGCCATGATTATTGGATACACATTGCTTTCATGGTACAATAGTTGACTCTTTTAGGGAGGGTGCAGTTCACAGTGGCCCATGCGGGGATCGAACCGGCAACCTTGGTGTTATCAGCACCACGCTCTAACCAACTGAGCTAACTGGTCACCCCTGGAATTGAATATTTTATTTTATTTCAATTATTTAAAATTTAAACAGCCACATGTGGATAGAGCCTACCCTATTAGACAATGCCAAGCTAGGGCCTTCCCTGACCACTCTACCTAAATTTGCAAAACATCTCTGCTTTCTTTTTCTCTTTAATTAGGGTTACTAGATTTACGCAAAAATAAATAAAATAAAATACAAGACACCAAGTTAAATTTGATTTGCAGATCAACATAATTTTTCAGTTTAAGTATGTCCCATGTAGTCGTTAAGGATGGTATTATATGGGACATAACTATACTTTAAAAATTATTCATAGCTTATCTAAAATTCAAATTTAACTGGATATAGAGGATTGAATAGGTCCATGAAAAACTTCATGTCCTCTCAGAATCTCAGAATATAATCTATTAAGGACCGAGATGAGATCATCCTGGATAAGGGGGAGCCCTCAATCCAATGGGGGTGTCCATATAAAAGACTGAAAAGGACACACAGAGGCACAGAAAAGGTGACTGAAGATGGAGATGGAGATAGGAGTGATGTGTCCACAAGCCAGGGAACATCAAGGATTGTCAGCAGCCACCATAAGGTAGGAGAGAGGCCTGAGATAGTCCCCTCCTCAGAGCATCCAAAAGAAACCAGCTACTCACACCTTGATTTTGGACTTCTGGTCTTCTGAACTCTGAGAGAATACATTTCTGTTGTTTTAAGCCACCCAGTCCATGGTAATTTGTTATGGCAGCAGAAGCAAATGGATAAACTAGGTATCCTGTATTTACCTGGCAATCCTATCCTTAGCAATTAGCATCTCAATATATTTTTCTTCTTTACCTTGTTCAGAGTCTGTCTCTCCCTCACTAGAATGTGACCCCATGAGGCAGACACACACATCTGTCAGGCTCACTGCTGTATCACAGGACCTGGAACCATTTAGGTGACACAGTAGGTGCTCAATAAACATCTACTGAGCAAATTCATGAATGAATAAGGGAAAGGAGGAGCAGAGAGAGGTCACCTGCATGGTTAGTGCAAAACAAAGCCTGCTTGTGAACTAGGGCTATTCTAATTCTTTTCCTGCCCCAGGATCCTTCCTCAAGGGACTTAGGTCATCAGCAAATGGTCACCCAGTATGTCACATCTGCCCCTGGTGCTTCCACCCGGCCCCTCAGCACCTTAGTTTAAAATCTCCTGCCTCAGTGGGAATATGCATCTTCACATATTATTCTTTCTACATTTCTATATTTAAATGTTTATATAATAAAGTGTTTTTTTTAAAATAACTTAAAAAAAAGAACCCTGCCTCCAGAGGCCATGGGTGTCCCGGGGAAGAATTTTGAGGCAGGCAGAGAGGGGCCCCAATCCTGGCTCTGCCACCTGTGAACTGTGCAGTTTTGGTCACATCCAGGGCCGTTTCAGAGTCTTGGGTTCTCCCTCTGCAGTGGGGCTCATGGCAGCTGCACCTTGGTGCCTCAGGAAGGAGTCAAGGCTGGCACAGAGTGGCCATTCAGCAACAAGGAGGGAGGAGCCGCTGTCCATTCTTACTATTCAAAGCAAAGAGGGGATCTGTAGGAGGGCCTGGCAGTGTGCAGTGAAGGGTTAACTCAGCATACCTGGACTGTCTCAGCCCTGAGCATTTCAAACAAAGGACTGGCCCCTGCTCAGTTCCTGAGAAGGAACCTCTAAGCCCTTGGAATGTCCTGCCTGATAAGAGTGTCTTGGTTTACCTGGGGCCTTGGGCCACACGGAATGGTCTATGCTAACAAGACCTTGGATCATAAGGTAGTAGTCTGACCTCTAGACAGGCTGGAGACTAAGTAACTAGGGCAACCACGCAGGTGGTCAGCCAGGCCTATGTGACCAACCTCCAATAAAAAACCTGGACAAAGCTTGGGTGAGCGTCCCTGGTTGGCAATACTCCTGTGTGTTGTCCATATCACTGGTGGGAAAATGAAGTGCTGTTCATGTGACAATACTGGGAGAGGACAACTGGCAGCTCTCGCCTGGTTTCTCTTGGACCCTGCCCCATTGCCTTTTTTCTTTGCCAACTTTGTTCCCTATCCTTTCGCTGTAATCAACTATTACTGTGAGCATAACAGCTTTTCTGAGCTCTGGCAGTCCCTCTAGAAAACTCAATGAATCTGAGAGTGGTCTCAGGGACCCCCAACACAGGCAGGACCCTGGGAGAATGCTGAGAATTTGGCTTCTGACACCACTCTCTCCTGGGGTTCCACTTCTCTCTCCGGCCACTCCTTGCCCGTCCCCCTCCCAGGTTCCAGTTCCCCTTCCTGATCTCAAGGCTAGCACACCCCAGGGTTCAGCTAATTCCCCTCATAGTCCTACTTAGTACCATCTAGATCCTCCCAGGGTTGCTTCTTGGCCCAGACTCCTCCCTTGACCTCCAGACCCCCACATTCAAGTCCATCTCTTTACCTGGCTGTCTGATGGGCAGCTCAAATTCTAAGTCCAAAACTGAGCTCTCAGTCTTCCCCGCAGATTGGCCTCCTGCCCTTGCCCCATCTTCCCCATCTCAGTAAATGGCAGCTCCATTCTTCTGGAGGAGCAGGCCAGAACTGCTGGAGGCACCCGACTCCTCTCTTTCCCTCGTGGCCCTGCCCGCACAGCCGAATGCTGATGCCTTCCATTATCAGCGACTGACCACTTTTCACCACTTCCACTGCTATTACTCTTGTCGGAGCTGCCATTACCTCTTGCCTGGGCAAATATAATAGACTTTAATAGATCTCTGCCTCTGACAGTCTGTTCCCTACACAGCAGTTAGATGGATCCTGTTAACACCTAAATCAGCTCCTGTCCCTCTGCTCAGAGCCCTCCTGTGGCTCCCAGCTTACTTAAAGTAAAAGCAAAGTCCTCACCACAGGCCACAAGACCAGGCACAATTCGTCCCCAACTAACTCTCTGCTCTCGTCTCCTGCCCTCACTCCCTTGCTCATTCCTCTCCAGCTACAGTGGTCACTTTGCTGTTTCTCCAACATTCCAGGCCTTCTCTCACCTCAGGGCCTTTGCACTTGCTTCCCCCTCTGCCTGGAACGTCCTCCCCCAGACATACACTAGGCACGTTCCCTCTCTTCACTCACATCTTAGCTCACCTGTCACATCCTCATCAGAGAAGCCTTCCCTGACCATCCTGTCTGAAACAGGTCCTCATCTCATCACTGTCTATCCTGTTTCAATCTCTGCTTTATTGTTCTTCATAGCACTTACCACTCCTGGGTATCATATTTTATATTTATTTATTGTCTCCCCAACTGAAATGTCGGCTCTCCGAGGGCGTGGCTTCATCCATCCTGTTCACTGCTGCATCCCCAGGACTTAGAACCGGGCCAAGTTCCATACAGGTGCTCAGAGAAGTTTTGCTGAATGAATGGATGAACAAACAAGCACAACAGGGCTGGAGGGGCCCTGTCCTCACCTGCAGCCGGGCCAGGGTGTGGTGATAGTGGAACAAGGTGCAGAAGTCCACGTGGGCCGAGAATTCCTCCAAAGCCTCTTTCTCCGCAGGACTGGAGTGGAATTCCTGTTACCTCAGGAAGCAAAACTGCTCTTTAGGCCTCTTTCCCCTTCCTCATGGGGACGAATTCTGTCCCTGGCAGCCCATACAGTCAGAGCTCTAGGGGTTTGGTTTTTTTATTTTGTTTTGTAGAGGGGCTGGCATTAATTTTATTGACAAAGAAACTGAGGTAGCCAAGTATAGTGAAAAACAGATGGCTGAAAGAGCTGGAGGTTCAAATTCCCAGTTTGACACTTACCAAACATTCACACAATGCTTGCTGTGTGCCAGGCACTACTTACCAGCATGCTATCATCCTCCAGAGATAAAAGGAGGCCGATGGAATTATAACCCCCGTGTTTCAGAAGGGGAAACTGAGACTTAAAGAAGTCACCTGCTGAGGGCCACAATGTCTAGATAAAGGGAAGCTGAGACTCCAATCCAGGCCTGTCTGACTCTAGAGCATACATATTTAACATACTTATGCTTGTCACTTTCCTTCTCCTGCTTCACTGACCTCATTTGTTGATGATTCAATAATACATGGAAAATGCTTAGCATAATTCCATATAATAAGAGCACAAACAACAATATGATAACAATTATAGCTTCGTAGGTATAATAATTATTATTAGGTAGTAGTAATAGTAATGATGAGGATGATTATTATGTCCATTATGCAGAGGGAAAAAACATGCCCCAGAGAATGCTTGTTCAAGCCCCCATAACGAGCTAGAGTTGGGAATTGCTGCTATATCTGCATCTCTGGGGTCTTCCTATATTCCAACTTACTCCACGCCCACTTGGGACTATAATAAGAAACGGAACTACAACTCCCAGGAGGGGGCCAGGGCAGCCTTCTATAGCATGTAGGGGGGTCTGTCGCCGCAAGGCCTGCCGGGAGTCGTAGTCCCCAGGCTCTTGCACCGGGACGGGCGGTACCTGTATCAGGAGGCGGAGCAGCTGCTCCTTGGAGAACGGGATGAACCGCTCGCGGTACTGCTGGGCCCAGTCGCGGGGCTCCGTGGGGTTCCACATCTTGCGGTACTCCCCCATCTTAGCCGCCAGCGACGACAGGGCCCGTACTCGGACCCTGGATCCCCAGACCCCCCGAGTCACGTGCAGCATGGCCAGCCCCTGTCCCCAGAGCCTAAACGAGGGAAATGGTCAGGGGTCAAAGAACATCTGGAGGAAAAGCGCCCTGTCCCAACCTCCAGGCGCTGTCCCTTCCCCAGGCGAAGCGCAGAGCCCATCCGCCCGCCTCGTAGTCCTTCTTGCCCATCCCCTCCCACACTGATCAGTTGACCTGGGCCCAAAGGAAGGGTCAGCGGTCTTAGTTCCTGGGGCGTTTTGAGGACCCAGACACCCTTTAATGGTACAACTGGTTTCTGCGGGGTCTAGGCGATGAGGTGGATTTGGGGAGGATAGCGAATGCGCGGAAAGGCTACATAGAGGGTGCAGGGCCGCCCTCCCCCGGCCATGCAATCCCCCGCCCTCCCCTCACCTTAACCAACGCTCGACTGTCATTGAACCTCCTGCGCATGTGTAGGAAGGCGCCCTGGGTCCTCGAGGATCGGCTTCATCCAGCAGTAAGACGCATGCGCAAAACATGGAGCTCAGCGTTTGTCCATTTTTCCTAACGCTGTCTCGACTGCGCATGCGCAATATGCCTGCCTTTTTACCACCATGGGCCTTGTTAGGGAGTAGCGCATGCGCAACAGAAGTGTCTCCTTTTCCGCGTGCTTCAAAGGGAAGGGGGCAAAGCGGGCACGAGACTTCTGGGGGGAGTGGGGTGGGGCCGAACTCCCGCGCGCATGCAGCCAACGGTGGGCAGCCCAACGTCCGCTATGGCCACGCCCCCGCTCGTGTCGGCTCCTGAGTAGGCGGGAAGACAGGGGGCGGGACTTGGGCACACCCAATCAGCTGTGGAGGGGCGAAAAGGCGGGAAAAAGCGGAAGCAAAAGAAGGCTCGGGGACACTAGGGACCAAGTGGGAAGCGTGGGCGGGTGGAAAAACAAGCCTCCGGGTGACGCAGACCAGGGCCTCCAGAGTAGGGGTGGCCCTTTGTCAGGCAACGCCCCCACAAGCCTCGCCACTCTCATTCCAAGTCCTGAAAGGAAAGACCGGATTCTAAGAAGGTAGCCTAGTGCTGGGGTGTATGGCCTTCTCATTCTGAGGGGACAGCTTAGTTCTGAGCCCATGTCCCCACACATCTGAGATCCAGACCCCCAATTTGAGGAACTATCCTTTTATGAAGATGGAGCTGAATTCTCAGGGGAGGCCCTTATTCTAAGGAAATAACCCCAAATCATAAGGACAGCCTAAAATATTCCCTGGGTTCTCCATTATGGGTGCTGTCACCCCAAACCTGAAGAGGATTCTCCTTTTTCAGACCTTTTTCCAATGGTTCTGATTCAGCACCCCTAGTCCCTGGAAAATGCCACGTGTGTCCTCTCACAGGGAGAACAGTCCTTTAAAGGGGCCCTCTGGCTCCAATGTCAGGAATGTGACCCCAATATCCCAGTCCCCTCTCTACCCTTCCTCCCTACCTGAGATCTCCTCACCCAGCCCCTCTACCTCTGATCCCCCAGCTGTCCCCTCACCTGGTGCCCCCACCTCTGGGATTCTCAGGAGCCCCCTTACCCTGCACCCCAAATCATGGAACCCTCAGCAGCCCTCTCATTCTGCACCCCCACCTCTGGGACCCCCAGCTGCCCCTTCACTCCAGGCCCCCACTCCTAAGAACCCTGGTAAACCCCTCACCCTACCCAACCCCATTTCTAGGACACCCTCCCCCACCACCTCCTCATCCCATGCTCCCTATTCTTGGGACTCCTGGCAGCCCCTTCATCCCACACCAATAACTAACCACCCACCATCTGTCCTGTCTTGCAGCAGCCAAGCCCCAGGGTGTGCCTGGAACCTCTGGACGGCAGCGGAGCATTCCTGCTCCTGCCTCCTGGAGCCCCGGAGGCACAGTAGCCGCCATGCATATCCCCGAAAGCCTCCAGGACCTGGCTGACAGTGAAGCTGTGCAGTTTCTGAAGAGGCCAAAGACGATCCTGCGGATCTTTGCAGGGGTGAGGCCTTCCTGTGGCCCAACTACCCCATGGGTGACGGGAAAGAGGTCTCACCTCTNAGAAGCCAGAAATTCAGATTTTAATGTGAAAATCTGTTTTTTAAAGACTGGCAAATTATTATTATTATTTTTTTTTTTAAGAAAAGAGAATGGCTCCACAAAAATGCCAGATGAAGGTGAGACAGGGGCTGCCTATTGGTGACATCTGAAGGTCCCTCTGGAACCCTGATATTCGGGAAAACAGTCAGGGAAGCTCTGTGCCAAAATAAGAATCTTTGAGAATTTTTTTCTCCAAAGTGTCTTTCCCAGTGGAGCCGTGAGGAGTGAGGGTGCAGCTCAGTCTTGGAAAACCCAGTTTCTCATCTTCCTGCTCCTCCCCGGCCTCAGTTGCCTGCAGACAGGTAACGGGATAAAGCAAAAGGAGAGAGAGGGGCCGGGGCGGGACCCCACACACGCCAGAGAGAGAGGGCAAGGAGTAGCCAAAGAGAGGCACCATTTTCCTTGGTTTATTTCAAGAGAACAAAGAATCAACCATCAATTCTGTACAAAAACATGGTGGCAGAGTCATGGTGACCCTCGGGCCAGGCCTCTCCCCATGCCCGGCCCCTTGTGCCCCTAAATTGCCCCAAAAACGAGGACAAGACTAAAAAACCCCAAACTCTGGGAAAAAATTATTATGAAAAACCAGTGGAGACCTTCCCTCCCCATCTCCCTCTCCCCAGCCCAGAAGTTTGGGGGCTGTGTTGATGGCCAGGGTGGGAGGTCGGGGAGGCAGGTGTGGCAGATTTAGTGTTTGGCAAACAGTGGGGCTGGGGGTAGGATCTGGAAGGGAGGTGAGGGGCTTGGTGGAGAGACAAGATCTCGGACCCTGTAATCGCACCCCCCACCCCCCCATATAGGACATTTATAAAAATCGGGGCCAGAGAGTAGAAGAGAAAGGAGTCATCAGAATCAAAAACTAAATAGCGGAAAGATTTTTTTCTTCTTCTCTAAAAGGCAAAAAAACTACAAACAGCCCAGGTCCTGAGCTCCCCAAGTCTTGGGTCATCCGCCGCCCCCTGAAACCCGGCAGGAGGGGGATGGGGAGTGGTTGGTTCTTAACAAAGTCACCCCTGGACAGGAAGGCTCTTGTCTTTGTCACCTTCCTCTGCCTCTGGCTGGCCGGCCACTGGAGGAGAGGGATGGCGAGGACCAGGGCTACGCTGGCAAACTCAGCTTCTTCCCCTTTAGGACTGTGAGGAGAGAAAAGGGGGAGGGCATTACCATGGGGCCCCCCCGCAGAAGGGACCACCTCCCACAGCCAGAGCAGGGGCCTGAACACTTGGGCTGGGCAGAGATGAGAGGAGAGTTGGCCCCAGGACCCTGGATTATAAACTGGGGGATCAGCGTGAATTACTGAGGGGTGAGGCAGGAGGAGCCTCGTCTCATCCTAGGGGCTGAGCATTGAGGCTAGAGGAGGCCCCATTTCTTCTGGTGCACCCTCAAGGGACTCGGGCTGGAGGCCTTGGAGCTTGGAGGGAGCTGGGGTCAGAGGTTCTGGCAAGGCTGGCCAGGTGAGACCACCATCTCCTGCCCTCCCAGCCCTAATGCTGAGGGGTCCCGGGGTGCCTCCAGGCTTCTGTCCTCCTGTTTCCTTTTTCCTTCATACGAACTGACTGCTGATTTCTCAGGTCTCTGCTTTAACCATCATCTCCTTTAAGAGGCCTCCCGACACCCCCTCCCCATGTGAAGAAGCCCCCTCACCCTCCACAGCTGTTCACTAACACATCCCTGGTTTCTTCCTGTCACAGCCCTTCGCACTACTTGCAATCACCTCTCTTTACCTGTTCATTCACCATTCCTCCCGACTAGAATTATAAGGGGAAGGGAGGGCCTCGTCCATCTTTTTTTCCTACTGTTGCATCCCCAGAGCCTAGCCCTGGCCAGGGACATAGAACATGCTCAATAAATGAATGAATGAGTGGATCTTGGTAGGCCCGAGTCCCTGAGGGTAAGGACAGAGATTCATGAACAGAGAGGAGTCCGTCCCTTTTCTGAGCACTGCTAGGGCTGGGCAGGTGGGAATTCTGAAATTGTGTGAGTGTGCGACTGAAACCCTATGGATCTGGAACCTCTCAGGGCAGGAGGAGGGGTCAGAACAAATTCCAAGAGAGAAAAAGTCAGAGGCCAGCCCTGACCCTCTCTGTCCTGTCTCCTCCTCAACGCCAAGGGACTAGGGAGGACGCCTGGTCTCTGTGTAGTCCAGGGGGGAGGCAGGAAGGCGGCCCCTGCTGCCTTTGCTATCTTCATTCAGAGACGTGGAGGCGGAGGAGAGAAACTCCTTGGTCCTCAAGGAGGCCGTGGATGGAAGGCTGAATTCCAGAGATGGCAGTGGGCCTAGGACCCTGGAAGATGGAAGCAGCTCTCCCTCCCTTGAGTGATAAAGGGCTGGGGAGATGGAGGGCAGGAGGGAGAAGGGTGCAGGACCCTTTCCAGCCGGCACCCCCATGTTGGCTACCTTTGGTGATGTAGAGGTAGAAGAAATCGCAGTAGAGGACTGTCTGAACCAGGCCAGCCACAATGGCGATGAAGTCGAAGAAGCCCTCGAAGTGATAGCGCCAGATCCAGTTAAAGAGATAGAGCGTGCGGTAGACGCCCAACGCAAACAGGTAGTGGCTGGTGATGGTCTCCGCCTCGCCTGTCTTGCTCACCATGAAGAGCTGCGGCAGGATGGCCACCGACTCCAGGTAGATGGAGAAGGTCCAGAGGATCTGCGGGGAGGCCAGGGAGCAGGATCAGAGGGCAGGATGAGGAGGGAGGGGACAGGGCGGGACAGAAGGCAGACTGCGGTGACAGGTGCAGACAGTGATGTTGGGGAGAGAGGAGAATGGGACAGTGAAGCCTGCTGGGCACTTAACTGTGTGCCAGACACCATTCTGCCCATGTCACGCGTATTCTAATTTACCGGTAATCCTCACAACGACCCCAAGGGGGAGGTACTATTTTAGCATCCCCTTTCTACACAGGAGGAAACTGAGGCCCAGAGAGAAGTAGAGACTTGCCCAAGACCATGCAGCTAGTAAGTGGCAGAGCTGAAATTCAAACCAAGGGTTCAGAGTCCAAAAGGACCAGTTTGGAATCTTGGTTCTGAGACTTTCCTTCTATGAGACCTTGGGCAAAAGACCTAGATTCTCTGAGTCTCCACTTACCTCTAAAATGGAGATGATTTTCCTGCCCTCGTAGGGGCAAAATTTGATGTGCAATCCTTAGAGACATAAACCAGACCGTGCCACTCCCTGGCTTAAAACCCTCCAGTAGCTACTTCTTATCGTAGCCAGAATAAAATCCAAATCTAACCTTGGTCTTCAGAACCCTCCCCGATTTAGCCTCATCTCCTATTCCCACCCCCATCTCTGGGCTGCAGCCAGGACTTGTGTCTGGTCCTCCAACATTCCAGGCTCCTACCCACCTCAGGGCCTTTGCACTTGCTGTTCCCTCAGCTCTTCCCCCAGATTGTCACATTCTGCCTCTTCCACCTCCTTCCAGCCTCAGCTCATCAGCCACCTCCTAAGAGAGGCCTTCCCTGACCACCCTCCCCCAAGGGCTGCCACATCACCCCATTTATTCTCTTTCCTGGCAGCTCTCACCAAAATGTGAGCCATGAGATACAGAATCCTATATCTTGTTCACCCCATGACCCCAGCACCTGGAACAATGCCTGGCACACATTCAATGCATGAATGAATGAATGAGTGAATGAATGAGTGAATGAATGGAAGTGATCTCCCCATGTGCTTGTCACAGGCCAGCATTTAGGGACCAGTAACTATCAGTCGTAAGCAGGACAGGGCACCATGGGAGGGGGAAGAAGAGGATACAGACATCTGTAGGCCCTTCTTCAGTCCTTAGCAACCTGAAAGTCCCACCTGGGGTGACTTATGATCTGTAGACCCACTGAAACCTCCCCTCAGAGAATCAGGCCAGGTGGCAGGTGTGGCTCCTCCCCAGATGTTTTGGTTTGTGGGAGGGAAGTGGGAAACATCAGGATGTATTCAAAACAATGCAGGCTTACATAGCATTTACTACATCCCAGGCATTGCTCCCTGCACCTTTCAGGTATTAACTGGCTACTGCCTTCACATATGAGGCAAGTCCTATCTTGATCCCCATTATAAAGATGAGGAGACTGAGGCCCAAGGTCACACAGCTAAACTGTGGTAGAAACAGTTTCCTACCCAGGCAGCTGGACCCCAAGGTTTGTTCCCATAATTGCTCAGATTCCTCCAGCAAGGCTCTTAGCAAGTCAGGTTAGTGGAGGCTCTCGGGGAAGGTACCCATTAAATTGATGCACACCCAACTGTTACCCTGGGGTTATCCTTGGGAATAGAATTGCAACATAAGGAGAGAGGGGAGGTCATCTTTTCATCACATTTACTTTATCTATTCGTGATGTCTGAATTTTTAAAGAATAGCTTCCTCTATAATTAAAGAATAATTGTTTGAGCATGCACCAACTAATAGCATGGGCTTTGAAAGCACAAGGACCTGGGTTCAAATCTTGTGAGCTCTCCCCTCTGAGCCTCCCCTTAATCCTCCGAGATGTGGGGCTGAGGACATCTGCTTCCCCATGTGGCC